CCCCAAAACCCCAAAACCCCAAAACCCCAAAACCCCTATATCAATCAAGTAAATTGATAAATAATTAAACTATTTAATATATTTAAAGATGAATAGAGGCTCACCTCGACTTAGTAATCAAGGAGAGGATCAAGAAGGTGTCAGTGCAGGTATTCAGTCGGACGCAGGGATATCTTCACAGAATAAGGAGCAGAATAAGGGCCATCAGATGAGACCAGACCAGATACAACCTCAGGGTCTGTATCTGGGTCTCTCTACAGCTCAAGCTTATTCAATAATGAAGAACATTCCAACAAAATATAGGTTACTTGAAAAGAATTATTTGAAAAAGCAACCAACACGTAAAAGAGTGAGGGCCGAGGCCCCCTTCAGGAATAGTAAGAAGCTCAATATTACTGCAAAGCCGAGATCTAGGAGGCAGAGAGAGGCTAAGAACGTCAATGAATATATCAGTTCGGAATACATAGACCAGATAGACTACATGGGCCCTCCAGAAAATTTAGAAGATAACACTTCCTTGTCTCGTAGAAACAGTGGAGTTGGAAAAAGAGTTCAAGCAAGATGTGATCGAGGCAGATATTCCTCTGATTTTAAGAAGAATATCGACCCTATAGCACCAAGTGAAACTATTGATGAAGGAAAACACAGTTCGAACAAATCAGTCATAGGTAATGGATACGAGAAACTAACTGCGAGTGAAGACAAAACTGTACAAGAGGAGGTACCTGTAAGCCAAATGAAGATAAAGCTTGAACCAGTAGAAGAGGAAAATTCGCCTATAATGAAAGAGGAAGAGCTCATGGACTCTAATAAGCATATAAAAAGTAATGATCTCTCAAATCACCCACAAATGATGAATAATGTTTCAAACCCGATTAGTACTGATAGCTCTAAACCAGTGAAGGAATCACCTCAAGGTCCATCAGATAGGCTGCAAGCTGAAGAAGAGCCGTTGTCAGGAAGCGATGATCATTTCTCTACTCAAGCAATTTTGTCTGCATATTCAAAGAAAAGTGAAAAGCTGTTTGCTACCCTCAACGAAGTAATTGATGTACATTCGAGAACTTCTGTCCCTCAAAGAATCAAGCTTATCAAGATGCTCTTTAGTACCCTGACTAGGAAAGAATCTGAAAGCTTCTTCAGCGCATTTAAAAGAGAGTTTGGGATTGATCTCAACATTTTTGATATTTGTAAGAATCCCGCTACTGATACCAATTATAAATAAAATGAGCCTGGCTTGTCTAAATCCGATCTTCATCGAGCGTATATATATGGAGCTCGATCTTAAATAACCTGGCTAACAAGCTTTCTTACATAAGCTGAGAAGAGCCATCATTTCCTATGAATAAAGAAATGGCAAGGCAGCTTCAGAATTTTATAGGCAAACCCGTGGATACTAGACAAAGAAATCATGAGAATGGATATCAGCATGCAATGCCTTCCCGGGCTCCTGAGTACCCAAACCATTCACAGATGCCACCTAATATGGCAAATATGAGGCAAAATTCCCAGTATGCAATGAATGGATATGATCATAATTCAAGAGAAAGACACCACAACGGAACCAAACAAAACTACATGCCTGATGATTATGCCCATCGAATGAGAAAATACGGTGTCATGAACGGAGATCCGAATCAGATATCTAATCGATTAAACAGAGAAAATAGTAGCAATTACAACCACCCCTCTCACTATATGAGTAACAGTAATTATTCGTCTTCCCTAGATCTTGCTAGGAACCAAGGACCTGATCCTCGTCATCTAATGCACGAAAGAATGGATAATTTTAGTAGAGAAAGAGAGCAGCCTACAATCCATGGGAGTATTGATAACTAATTAACTCATTGATTAGGTGCGATACATTGGAGAGTGTTGGGCTTTCCCATGGCATTAACAACCTTCCTCGTTGTCAATTTTTGACTGATGATCTCCTTCTATATAATACTTAACTCATTAATAAGAATATCTTTCTGCAAATTTATGCTTTGTTTTCATGGTTTTCTCCCAGCCAGAATCCACTGCTGAGTGTTCCAGATTTTCAGAAAAATTCTATTGATTAGATATCCATGGCGGTCCAAAATTTGAAGCACAGGCATTAAATTTATAGTTCACAAATACTAGATCAATAATGCTATGCTATTAGTGACAAAATTCTGAACGAAACTTGAATCAACTGAAGTGGATTCGATCCACTCCAGAACTGTTCTAAGATTTTTTAGGAATTTCCATTATTTATCTAACAAATTTCAGCAATATTTGCCAAAATTTGGGTTATATATAAAAAATTTGTTATATTTCTTCCCTTTCAGGTGTCTGGCTTACTTAGGAGCTTCAAAGTTAGCTAAGAAATATCAATATTTTTATTTCTCAGTCGAGATTTCTAAGTTTTGATATTCTCTTTGAGACTCATTTTCTAATATTGTCAATATTTATTATTTGTCAGGGGTTTTGGGGTTTTGGGGTTTTGGGGTTTTGGGG